TACTAAACTCCTGAGCTAGAAAGGACTAAACACAGGCTTTTAAAGCTACTCCCTTTATAGCTTTTTTCCCAAACAGAAGACAGTCTCACGTGTCCCATTATTTCCATACATATCAAAGGAGGGTGGAGATTTAACTAGCGATTTCTAAAAGGCATCTTTGTGCACAGAAGGGATGTATGCCAAAACGTGGGTGGTTATAAGCCCAAACACAAAGAAGAATACATCCACAGGCATTTTTCCCCTTGATCCATTAACGGGTCTGCATACCAGCCTCCTGAGCATATGAGAAGGACCTTGTTCAAAAGGTAAATGTATTCAGAAAGATGACAACAGACAGCAAATAATCCACATCCTTTAACTATGTTGGAGGCTCAGCAGCACTAGGTTTTTGTTGGGAGCCACTGAAATTTGACAGGCAGCCTCAGGGAAGGTATCCTCTTGAAGGAACCTGCTCAGGAAGCCTCACAACTGAGTCTCCTTCGAATGCTGCCACACCTAACAGGCTGTGAAGCTCAAGGTGGACACCTAGCTCAGCTCTCCAGAACTCCTGCAGCTTTTCTTTGCACCACACAAACCATCACCCAGCCACAGCATTGCATCCCATTGGGGGCAACCATAGGGCCTCATGGGGGCTCCCCTCTCCTGCATCCACCAATGCCCAGGAGGAGCACATGCAGCAGTCTTCATCTGGTCCCCATTTCTCTTCCACTGAGCCATTTGATTCCATTCAAATCAATGGCTGGTTTCACCAGCTGGAACAAGGGTTCATCCTGGTCATCCCAGCCTGATGCCAGGATGGTAAATTTGAGCAGACAGAAAGACTTTCAGATTCATTCTGTGCTGCTTTGATCTTGGAAGTTTCAGCGTGGTGTCCAGCGATGCAAGAAATGGGATACATATGAAACCAGCCAGGAGCATTTACCACAAGAAAGGCCCTTTTTTTGTTCATTTTTTAATGAAAGACTAGGCCAGCCAACAGAGGCGAGGCACTCTGTGCAGCAGAGAGATATTAGCACGGTCAAACCTTTAGAGTCAACAAGGGCACATCCATACACTTCTCAGTCACAACTCAGTATCACAAGTGGTGCAGAAAGCACAGATCATCCCACCACCAGAACTGGGCAGATTACCCTAGCAGGCTACCCTTGCTTTTCATTGCTCTTCAGTCAGCAGCACGTTCAAACCTGGTGCTACTACACGCTTTTTCAGACTTTGGCTGCACTGAGCTCTGCAGAACAGGAACAGGGGTCTCCCTCATGGGTGGAGAGCCAGGAACAGGAACAAAAGGTGCTCTGATATTGAGTGCCCCCCGGCGGTCTAAGTTTATAGCACCTGCAGAAGACCCCTTGACTGTTTTAACAGATTTTTCAGCACTTCGGTACTAAAGGGACCTGTAGCCTCTGTGTCTGGGGCTTCACCCACACTAAACACCGATGCTCAGGTTTAGGCTGTGCCCACAGCCCTTAGGATGGTTCAGTTTTGCACAGATTGGTTGCAGACAGGATTATGTTTGAGGTGAAGCTAAAAAAAATTAGGCTCTGGGAGCTGAGCGACTCTGACTGTGCTCTAGTATTTAGAAGCAGACATGCTAGCTATCTTTTCTGAAATGACCAGCAGCAAGATGCTCACAAGGCTCTCACATTATGATCTCTTCTGCTAGCATGGTACACCCTCAGAGCTGACTGCAGACACAGGTGGATGGCCAGCAGCACAGTCAGAGACAGTTATGCTACTGGATGCTGATTTTCAGAAATTAAACACTGATGCTCAGCGTACAGTCCTCCCTGGACATCTGCAGCATCTCCCTATAAACATTTGGTATCTTCATTCCCACCTGGTAGTAGAACACATTTGGTGATCACTGGGCAGAGATACATGGATGCAGCTGGCCCATCACCTGTATTTTACCTTCTTTTTTTTTTTTTTTTTTTTTTTTTGTTTCTGGAAAGAAGCTGAGCAAAATGCACAAGTTGTCATCCTTGTTACCCCAGAGAAGATGCTCTCAGACCACTTCTATGTGCTCAGGATTACATCTCTGGGCTTTGTCTGTGTTCCAACATCTTGCTCATGGCTTTGGCACAGAAATAAAGAAAGAAGATCCCCAATGCTTAAAGCTCTTTGTGATTCCCAGACTCATTTCCTTCCCACCCCAGGAGAAGACATAAACGGAGGATAAAAAAAAAAAAAAAAAAAGGACTATGTTTTCTGCTGAAACCCATCCTCTCTCCTGCCAGCATAGAAGTGCCACCTGAGCTTCTCTGCAGGAAGACACCTGCATTTGCACCTCTTGCGATACACACAGGCTCTACTCTAAACACCTGCGCAATGACTGGAGACTTGGAGCCTGCTACCATATGAGAGGAGCAGCCCAGGCAAGTCCAAGGCACACAGTTGCAGGAGCCTCACTGAATTCACATGCTGGGTCCACAGTGCCCCAGCTACCATTGAAGAGCAGCAGCAATCACCCTAGCAAGGGTGGAAAAGCAGCCCTGGACTCCCTGGCCAGCCACTGCAGCTTGAGCAACTTCCCAGAGAGGAAACGGTCCCTCACAATCTGGGGATAGAGCCTGGGAACCAGACTTCCACACTGTGCAGTGGAGGAGCAGGGCTGTTGCTCTCTTTGCCTCCAGCCAAACCACCCAAGAGCACAGGGTTTTACATCTGCTTGGGTGGAAGGTGTTCCTCAAGTGGGGCACACTATGGCCTGGTCATATGCCCTGAGCATCTCCTGTGCCCCATCCAGCAGCAGGCACCAGGCAAGGTGAAGCCAGCTCCCTCTCCCATGGAGGAAAAATCCCTACCAGGGAACGAGGACAGATCCCCAGCCATGAAAGCCATGACGGGACGACCAGGGTAGACAGAGCCCAGCCAGGCTCCTGCCTTGCTCACATCATGGGGTTTTCGCAGATGCAAAAGTCAGTTCTAACGGAATTGGGCTACTTTGGCCTACTGCATCTTACACATTTGGTGCTTTAGCCATCCTCCAGCTGCAACAGCCCTATGCACCCATACACACACCACATCATCCCTAACACTGAAACATGACTGGCACCCCATAAAAAGGAATCACCTGCCTCACACAGAACAGGGCAGCCAGTGGCTGCACAGTGCCAGATCTCCATCAGGAGCCAAGCCTCTGAGAGGTTTGCAGGCTGCCTGAGGCCACGGGAAGCCCTATGCAGGCCAGACTGACCCACATTCACTTAGATCCAAATCTTTTGACTGCAGCATTTGGTTGATTCACCAGGACACCAAAAACTCAAGTCAAACAGAACAGCTTGGAGCTACAGTCACAACTCAGCTGCTCACAGAAAGGCACCTCCCAGAATGCAGACTGGTCCACCACGGCACTGAGAATGGACGCTGGCCATGGACCACAGGTGTCTGCAGCGTGACTAGTGCCCATTGCTGGATCTGTGGCAGCTTGGCCCCTCGTTCTTGTTCCTTGCAGCTGCCAGGCCTGAGCTCAGCACCTAGGAAACACATGGGCCCCCTCAGCAGCAATGCAGGGTCCCTGTATGCCCACAACCCACCATGGCACCACCCTGCACAAAGGCCCCTGCTTCAGACAGCTTTTGTATCACGCATTAGAAAGAGGTGAAGGGGGACTTGAACTGGGGATGAAGCACTTGGGAATCAGAAAGTCAGGAGCAGAGTAGCAGCAGCTAGTCTCTGCCCCAGGCCTCCCAGAGCAAGAGCTTCACAAGCACTGCTCCAGTCCCTATGGCAAAATGGAGCCCATGGGGCTGCAAGAGACAGCACCCACCCTGCACAGCCACGAACAGTGCTCTCCTTTGATTTCAACTTCATACAATAACCAGCAGACCAAAAGTTACCAGGAACACACTAGACATGGGGTAAGGGAAAAAGGTCTCCCAACTGGGGTGGAAAAGTGGAAGTAGCGAGATGCCCGCAGGCCTTTACAGCAGGATGGGTGAGGAGAGCACAGCACAGCTCTGACATAGCTACATGAGGGTAGAGAGCCATGGGGTCTTCGGCAGGGGAGCTGGAGAAGGACAAAGGGAAGAGACATGGGTCCATGAGCTTAGCTCAGGTTGCAGAAACCCAAAATTGGACAACTCATCCTTCAGTGAAAGCCAAGTTTCTTCAAGCCCAGAAGCTGAACTTTTAAGAAAAAAAAGCAACTCACTGCCAGGCACAGCAGCAATGTAAGCCTCTTGTCCCCCTCATGGACTTTGTTCCCTCTGCTGCAGAGAAGCAGCCCATGACACAGCAGGACATGTCCAGGAGATTTAGGGCTACTGGGCACACAGATCCCAGCCTGAGCACAAGAACCAGAAGCCAGAGTGGTGCTCAGGGGGTGCTATTGGGCTAGCAATCCCCCTAGCCTCTGCCACCCCAGGGCTGGGCACCTCTGTTTGCAGGGCAGCGCCAGTGTGGCTGGGCAGGGGACTGCCCTGCTGCCACTCCCAGGGAGCCAGGGTGCTTTGCTGCCAGGCTGGGCTCGCCAGTCTCTCCCCTCCCCAAACAAGGATCCCCACGTGCAAACTTGACATCGAAAGGGAAGGACCCCTGCCCAGTTTCAGGGGTTTCTCTGAGCCCCTGGATGCTCCCCCTGGGCAGGAGAAAAAAAGCTGATGCTCTCCCCATCTCCAGGATCTGCAAGGTAGCAGTGCCCACAGCCCCAGAGCAGGACTAGCAAAGGGCAAGGGCAGGAGAGCCCAACATCCAGGCAGCCGAAATATAGGGTCCTGCCTGACCTGCCCCATCCCAGCTCCTCGCTCCAGGGCTGCACCCCCACAGGCACCCTGTGAGGGGGTCAGTGCCAACAGGAGTGCCATGTCCCTGCTGCCACGACCCAGGGCTGGCACCAAGGGTACGGTGCTCCATCCAAGTAATGGGAAGTGCCAGAAGAGCCGTTTCCCACTCCCAGCATTAGCACCGTGCATTGGCTCCAGGCAGGCTGCCCGGATAGCGGCTCCATCCCGCACAGCCCTGCTTGTGCCCAGGGCAAGAGCCCTTTGCAGAGATTTCCTTACCATGTTCCCGGCCTTCTTTATTCCCCCTCACTTCCAAAGGCAGCGTTTTTTCTCTTTTTCCTCCATGTGTGCGATGGGGCGTCTCCTCTCCCCTCCGACGTGAACCACCGAAGCACTTTGAGTTCTGGACTGTAATCCAAGCCCTCACCGCCCCCAGCACAGCTCCAACTAATCTAACTCATGACACTACCGGGGCTGAGGAGGGGACCTCGAAGGTTTCTCTGACAGCCAACTCCAGTGCTAGACGGTGGAGGGGCATAGCGAGCGCAGGGTGCTGTGTTCCCCAGCCCTGCGGGGACCTTAGAGACACAGGCAGAGCCAGCAACGCTCGAAGGCTGCTCGTTACAGCACCGCTGCTATCTGCGTCCCTCAGAGCACGCCTGTCCCTCCTCACAGACCTGCTTAATGCGGATGCTTTGTGGCGGAGAGCTGCCTTCGCCCGGGAAGATCTGAATAACTGCTAGAGGAGAACAAGCCCACGGCAGGCATCCCGAGAAAGTCTCCAGCTTCCCAAAGAGGTTTCCAGCAAAATCCTCCCCCTGCCTTCTCTTGGCTTGCTTTTCTCTAAGTCCAGAGAAGTTTCTCCACGAGATCCTGAGGCAGCGCTGCAGGTTAAGCAAAACACTGAGAAATACAAAAAAAAAGAGTGCCCTGAAATATTGTTTTTCTAACTTCTACAAGGAAAACAGAGAGGCAGTGACCGCTTCAGGCAACAGCAACAAACTGCATTGGTATCAGGCAAGAGATGTGGAGACCTCACCCTCTCCCAAAGGAGGAAGTAATTTAACATGGCAAGTTTCTCCACCCCTCCATTAATTGTTTAAGATGGCCAGGGGCCAAAATACTGCCTGAGCAGTGGGAGCAGCGGGGAAGGTCACAGAACAGCCAGGCAGCAGCCTACAGAAGTGACAACGGAAAAGGGCAGAGCCACAGAGGCGGAGAGGGAGGGGAAAGGCAGGTGCCGCAGGGCATCCCAGGATCTGCTGACACAAAGGCTTTGTGTAACGGGAAGCAGGCGGGAAGTGACACACAGGCGAAGTCTCTGAGCCCTGGGCACGAGGTGCAGGGGCTGGCACCAGGGCTTGGGATCACAAGCTGCCTCCCCAGCCTTGGCCAAGCAGTGCATGGTCTCGGCAGCCTCAGCAGACACTGACCCTCCATCAAGGGTGATGCTGGTACCTGGCTGTCCCTGCTTCTGGGAGAGGGCACACAAACCAATCCACGCCAAGAGGAAGGGTGACTCAGGCAGGACGTGAGGACCTACAACAGGAGGAAAGACATCCCCCCACACGGACAAGCTCAGCAGATGAGCACAGAGTACTTGCAAACACAAGCGGTGTTTGCTGCTGCCCTGGCTCAAGGGATAGGCCCCCACAGCCTTCCCAAGCCCTGCTCCACTGGGCCAGCAGCAGAGCCCACGTGGGCCAGTCCAGCTCAAGAACACCTTCAGACACACTTCTTCCTGGAAGGACTGCCAACAGTTGTCCTTAAAATCCATCACACATGATGGCCTCATGGTATGTTTTCAGACATAACCAACAAACAAGGGTTTGAGCAGTCCCAAAACCAACCATTCAAAACACCAGCTGCCTGACGTGCTCTTGTGTTTCCTATGGACAGCAAGGGTTGCAGTTCACCTTCCTTAAACTAAAAAAGACATCCTCCCAAAAGGGGATGCAACATTGACAGTGGAAGACTAGAGCCAAGCAGCTGCCTCACAGTTCAGCACTTCATTTTCAAACAGCCCTTGCTTGCAGAGGCTCCCCCACAGCCCCTAGCAGTTAGGTGCCTTGTCCCTCCTGCAGTGCACCATAGCAGCGAGCACCTCCAGCCCACCTCAGGCGAGATCAGGTGATAATCCCAAACTGGGTGATGGAGAGCATCCCTGCAAATGCACAGGCACTACACCTAGTTATTGCCATCTGCAACAACTAAAGCAATTTGTGATCTTGTGTGTGGATGCAGAAGAGCCCTTCTTTCTACCTCATATTTATAGCAGGAGAATGGGAAACCTGGCATACTTCCCCAGCAGAGCCTCCGACCACAGATGTGAAATCTGCACAAGCCTGCATTTGCAAAATACCTTTGCCCTTCAACTGTTCCCCAAACACATCTCCCAGCCCACAGATGTGGCTACTCCTTTGCAACATCCTCCTGCAGGTGCTGGGAGTCTCCCTACGGACTGCATATCTCAGAGAGGGAGCACAGAAAGCAACATACCTCCAGCACGCACATGGCATGGAGGTGGCCATGACAAACCTCGTGCTATCAGAGGTGCCGAGCTATTTCTGTTGGAAGCATGGCCCCCATGGCAGAATAAAGGAGGTAGAAGAGATCCACCAGGCATCTCATACCCAGATGTTTCATGGAAACTTCCTTGCTGTTTGTTCAACTGCAGCAACTACATGCAGGTTTCCTTTCAGAAGGCCACGGCTGCCCAGGGGTAACCCAGATCCTTGCACACAACTATCTTTATCCAGCAAACAGGGCTCTGCAATTACAGTGGGGTCTGCAGGGGGACCAGCCTCCAAGCAGAGATCTGAAGCCTCCAAGCAGTCTGGGTAGTCAGGGCTACGCTAGCATCCAGCCAAAGCCCCAAACAGTCCGTTCAAAACCCTGCTGTGGGGCTGAAAGGGGCCCCACAGGCTCCTGCACAAACCAGGACCTACCTCACCTTTTGAAACAGAAATGTGTGCTCCCCAGGCATGAAGGGCAATGCAGACCCAGGTAGGGCTGGGGCAACCCGAGAGCCCATGGGGACAAAGAGGATGGAGCAGAGAACCTGCTCCCACACTGTCACTGAACCGGTCAGGTCTCCTGCACCCAGGCCTCTGGCAGCAGCTCCAGGGTGAGAGCAGCTTTCCTCACCCCTTCAGGTGGCTTGTGCAAGCCTGGGAGCACAAGGTTGCCTTCTCCTTTGGCTCTGAGTTAGCAGCAGAATAAGACACTGTCCCACCTAATTTCAGCTCTTTGAGGGCCAGAAAAAGAAAAGCAGTGCTTTCAGGGGCTGGTGTAGAAGCTTGCAGCACCCCCATAAACACAGATGAGGAGGGCACCATATAAGCACACACAACCCAGATCTGGTTCCCATCCCATTTTCCACCCCAGTGACAGAGCCAGGTGCTTACCAGACCACACAGCCAACTCTCACTATATCCAGATCCTACTCAAACCATATTAGCATTAGTAACACGACTTTCCGGTGCAGCAGCCAGCTCAGTTGTGGAGATGACAACGGAAAGCTCTCTGCAAGTCCCCAAACCAACACCACACAGGACAATGCAGAAAGGTTGATGACTGCAGGTATTTATTTATCAAAGCAGAGGGGGAATGGGTTGTCTAACACAAGAGAAGCTTAGAGTCAATCTCACACCTCTTCCCTTTACTACGCTGTGCTCAAAGCTCAGCACCACCTTCCTTCCCCCAGCTAGGATTTCCAGGCTGAAGAGCCCAAGTTCAGCTCACCCCCTTCCCAGCTGGAGGCAGTGACGTTATTTCCTGTGCTATGGCACTCCACTAAGGGGAACATCGTACTGCTGTTTACTCATGGCTGGATCCTAATATAGCTTGCCTTTTTTTTTTTTTTTTAAATTGCAAAGCAGTCTTTCCCTCCTCTCCTGCATTGTAGGTCCATTTCCCACACAAGCACATGGGAGACAGCTGTAGCCAGCACTTCAGTGGGTGTTAAAAAGCCCCTCTTGACTGAGGCTGACAACAATGCTGCACTTGTTCCCCAACACAGTCTCTCACTGTCTCCTCACAGGAGCAGCTCCTCACTCTTGCACAAGGCCTGCGCTTTCCTCTGGGTTGGTTTAATTGCTGAAGCAACTGCAAAAGGCTGCTGTCATCTAGCTCTGCCGGCAGTGATCTGTGTGCTCCAGCTTCCCTTCCAGCAGAGCCAGGTCCTCTGCATGGACCAATGGGCAATTTTACCTTCAGGCAACTGCTTTGGTACCCGGCTGTGGTGGCTGCTAAGCTGTCCTAGAGGTGAAGTATGGCAAAAGGCAGCAAACGCTGACATTAGGAAGGATGAGGAGCCAAACTTTGAAGGCTGTGGGGCCTCCCTAGAGTTGAAAGAGGAGGAGGTGGGAGAGGGGTCAGCACACCAACTACTCTGAAACTTGAGGAATCATAACTTCAGACCCATGTCTCTTTCCCCCCCAAGCCCCCTTCCCCTTGTTGGATCTGGATTCTGGAGCTGCAGTATTTCTCAAGTGCCTGCTGAAGCTGCACTTCAACTGCAACCTAGAGCTCATAAGAGATGGGAGAGAGCACAGGCAAAGGTAGGAGGCATTCAAAAGACCTCTGCCTTTGAGTCAATGCTAGCAGAGTTCTGCTTTTTTTCAGTTGTGCAAATCAGGGAAAGCTCAAGGCTTTTACCAATAGGACCCAACTGTGCTGGAAGAAACACAGGACAGATGTTTTAGATGCTAGATAAGGACATCCTCTGACCTAGGAAAAGTTGTGCAATATGCATGCTAGCTAGACAACTGTACTACAGCAGCCAAAAGCTCTTAGGAAAACATCTCCCACACTCCATGTTAGCATTGCATGAGCACTGGTGTAGTCCTCAGCCCAGTAAAGGGAACCTCCTATGTCTATAGGGACTTCCAAGGGAAAGGAAAGCCTGGGAGCAGGCTGTGGCAGAGTGGTACACCAGGACCTATGGCCCCTGCTAACCCACTGATCAATGGATGCCTCAATCTACTTCCAGGCATCTCCTCATCACCAGACTGAGGCTCTCCACCACCTCCCATGTCCACACACATGGCTGTGCAGATGCCCCATGGATTAGGCTGTGTCCTGAAAGTACAGGTTCAAGAAAGGTACATTACAATCCCACTAATCTACACACTGTGAACCCCATTTCCCCTCCACTTGGCAGCCTATAAAAACATGAGAAGCCACCAAGAAGCAGTATTAGAACACACTCAGCACAAGCAGGTGCCTTAACTCCAACGATAGATGCTTGCTTGAAACAGGTTTTGTCAAAAAAAAAAAGCAGCAAGTGCTGCATCAAGTAGAGCTGCAAGCAGCCCTTTGTATCAACAACAGCATTTCAGGAAAGAATTAGTTCTTTCCCCATTAGGGAGACAAGAGTAGGTTGTATACAGTTTAATAATATTTAAACCTTTATTTGAGATCACAAGTAAAGCAGGCCTTGGCTTCACAAAAAACACATCTTGGTTTAACTAATTAATTTGATAATCCCCTACTTGCAATCCTCAGGAGACATTCGGCTTCTAAAGCAAGTAATTACCACTAAGTGGCAACCTCTTTGTGAGGCCCAGTCTGATTAGGGAAAAAAATTTGTTAAGCCAGAAATATAATCATGGTGTGATTTCCCAGAAAGACTGGAGGAGAGACTACGTAACAACAGCCGGTCACACGCACCATTTGAAGGAACAGGAGCGACTCAATTACCAGGTCTCCAGCTACACTTCAAGATGTTATGCAGTGCCATGTGCAAACCTGGCGTGCAGTTAACCATCAAGAGGCTTTACAGATGTTTTATTGGTACAGAAGTCACAAAGGTGCCACTTAGGGCTCTCAAATACCCATATGTGACAGAGGGTGGGGAAAATTTGGAAAAATAAATAAATATTGCATGTCAGGCCTGCTGCAGCACATATGAAATCCCATGAAGAAGTAGGGGATTGCCAGCCTCAGCCTCTCTGCACAGATAGGAAGGCACACCCTGATGACACACAGTGTCTTCCCCAGA